GCCAGGCCGCCCGCCGTCCCTGGGGAGCGGGGCAGCCCCCGGCGGCGGCCACCCTGCTGGCGCGGTGCCTGGCGGCCGGCGCCGTGACTCAGGTAACGGGCCCGGAGGGGACCGCGCAAGCTGGCGGCCGCGGGGATCGGAGTCGCGTAACAAGAAAAAAATACTACCTGCGGTAAAGGTTTGGAGAAGCCGCGGCTCAGGTGCTGTGCCGCAGCTCTCCTCTTCCCTCTGTGCCCGTCCTTGGAGCCCGCGTGTCCCGCCTGCCTTCTGCCGCCGGGCTTTCGTGGGTGCAGCAGTGCCTCAGGCTCCACCGTCAGGTTGGCGAACCTGCGCTTCGGTGCCTTACTCCTCCGTCTCTTGAAGTAAGATTGCGTTGAAAGCGCTGAACCGTGTTGCTGTTTGCGTAAGGGCGTGTTCGTTTGAAAGGCAGAGAAGTTTTTCCTTTCGTTGTGGGACGTCCTTCGTTTTTGGCTGATGGCAGCTTTCCTTACTAGGCATACCTGTACCTCCTGGTGTGTATTTTTCTGGAGCGTGGACGTGAGGGGCTTCTTATGCCCTGTAGTGCGTTCCAGCGGCATGCAAGCCAGTATCCTTGGGAGTGCGCTCATACTGCCGTTTATGAAATTTTATTTTCACTCGTGTTCATTTTCCCCAGATAATGCACGTGTTTTACGAGTTTTTCCGATGAAATTTACTGTATCGCATTGTGCAAGAGATTAACAGTAACTTTAGACTATTAATAGCTAATCGTGAGAATTTGCCTGATACGTTCTTGCTGCTGACTGCATTTTTTCCCATTGTTTTCCTTTCACAGGAGACATTGGATTTAACCTGTAGAAAAGCCCCATGCTTTGTGAAATTCTCAGAGATGGAAAAAATGGCAAACATTCAAGCTGAAATCAACGAGGTACAGCCTTTACTGTTGTCAGTGTACACTTACCACTTCAATACTTAGAGATAATGCATGACACCTGTTGAGGTATTGGACTGCCATGTGCTGTTGTTTCATGTTTTGCGGGTTTTTTAACAGTTTAGCTGTGTAACAGTTGGCACTTTTTTCCCCAGTGGACTGAGTTGTCATAAAGAAAAGAACAAAATTATGAAACAAAAGGTTTTGGTATAACTGGAAAGATGCAGCAACCTGTATCTTTCAGGTGTTACCTGAAGTTCTCTGAAGAAACTGAAGAACAAATAAGAATTTGTAGTTGACTGTAATTCACAAAAATGTTTCTTTATAGGCACCTGGACCCTTTTGTTGGTTAGCAAGAGGTAATCGCAGTTATTTCCTACTGCTTGAACTGCTGTTGGTTTGTATTTTATGATGATGACTTCTGAGCATTTGCTTGCTGGTACAAAAACTGTGTTTATGAAGTTACACAGTGTGGGCTCTGGCAGCTACAAAGCCTTACTGCAAAGCAGTGTGACAAATTCACTATTTACTTTTTGGGAGAATGAGTTAAACAGCTGGCATCATCCTGTATTGACAGGCAGAACGAACGAACAGTTTTCAGCTCCCAGTAAGGTGGCTATTTAGCCTCCTATGCTGGAAGGTTTCATGTACAAAGTACTCTCTCTGACAAATGTTCAAGGTGCTATCAGTGAAGCAAGTTTATTTTTGTCCTCTCCTCAGTGATCAAGAAAAGCAAAGCAACAGTTCTCTGTGTGTCCTGAGAGACTGATGTGTCATCCTCTTCTGTGCTTTCCTCAGTCTTCTCTTATCTAGACAAAACAACCACAAGTCTTTCAGCCACAGGAAGATATCTGCTGCTCTTGTGCTGGTTTATCATTGAAAAGAATTAAAGCTAGGAGTTTCACTTGGGAGCGCTTCTCCCACAGCTAAAAAAACCCAACACAACACAAACCAATCTTTGCCAGAAAGAGGAAGCTTGGGGCTGTGAGAGGTTCTTTAGTAGAACATAGACTATGAAACTGCTTTGTAGGAGATGTAAGTTTCTGTGGTTTAGGAATGAATTGCAGGACCTGTCTTTTCCAGCACAAATTCCCAATAAATCACTAAATTGTTTAGGTTGTTTTTTTTTTTTAAAACAGTCTCTTCCTATTGACCAAAAAAGCCCCACCTAGTAGTAGAAACACTCCAGAGAGCATGGTAACATGCTCTCATGCAAATGTTCACTCTTTCACACACATGCTCTCCCCCATGCTCCCGTTTTCTCCCTTTCTACTTCCTCCCCCACCCCAAGAGAGTCAACAATATCTGGATAAGTATGTTAAAAACACATTTCATTTGATGTTATTATTGTTGCAGAAGAAACTGAAAACTGAAATTCTGCAGCTGGAGAAGGAGACAGCAGACATTGCGCACCCTTTTTACTTAGGTAAGTGCAGTTGTACCTTAGAAAAAACAAGAGTGTTAAATGACTTCATCAGCAGATTAATGTTTCGTCTGAGTATGTAACACTTCTAGAAGTTATTGCAGCTGTCTCCACTGGATAGCTTGTTAGAGATGGCAGGTGTTTTATTAGTCCCTAAAGAATGTTTCCATACTATTTGAACTTGCACCCTTCTGCTGTGTCAGTAGAAGCTCCATGCGTAACTCATTCTCCAAAAAAGTTGTGTGTGTGGTCAGCTCCCCAGGGTCAGTGGAGTATCAGTTCTGAGATCATCAGTAACCTGATTTGCTTCCCTTGGCCTGTGTGCTACTTTGCTGCTTTTCCAGTAACTCAATGTATTTCTGCTGCATCTATATGCCCCTAAAATTACTTGGATTTTTATTTTAGTATTTTGGGAGCATATGTGTTCATTTCTTTATTATTTCATACTTTTCCCACTACGATTTCATGGGTGCTTAAAAACATTCTAGCTTGCTACTACTGTGTTAGGCTAATGAAGTACATTGTAATACTTCAGTGCTATGGTATAGTTTAAGAAGTCGGTTTCATCTCAAAGAGTTTACTTAAAACTATAGACAAAGTAAAACAATTAACACAGCTGTATCTCTAAAAAGTAGGTATTATGACTTTGAGGCGCGTGCTGTTGTTAAGTCCTATACAAGCCAACAAAAGTCATTCTGATTAATGATATCTTTCCTGGGTGTAAACTGTCCAGTGTAATAGATCAGACTTTTTCTTTCTGTCTTTCTCCAGAAGAAATTTTGCTCTTGTTTTGGTAGGACAACAGGTTCAACTTTGCAATTTTATTTTATAGGCAAAAAATGCGAGATTTTGCAAGATATGAACAGACACTTGGAAGCCATACTGAAAGAGAAGAGGGCTCTTAGAAAGAGGTTGATAAAGCCCAGATGTCAAGAGAGCCTGCCTATTGAGGCTACTTTCCACAAGTAGGCATATGGAAAATAATTGTTCTTTGTTTGCATCAATCCAAATTAATTTGAACTAATAGGCAGAAAAAATGGCATGCTTTCATTCACTTTTCCATTGATAAGAATAGAAATAAAAAATGGTAGCAGAACCTCAGCTAAAAGCTAGTAGTTTACTCATTGCGAAACTCATAGATAGTGATACATATTTTTACGAATATTTGCTTAGGTTGTCAGTCTTCTGAAGATTACAGAACAATTTGTGATGTATTGTTTTAAACAGGTGTGTTAACTGCTTGATTCATTATGCTTCTCCATAGGTAGGAATTGTTAACTTTAGCATTTGGTGTCTTCCTTCCACTGTGACTTGGATCAGAATAAGTGTGTGAATGATTCCCAGACATGCACGGTACATGTTTATAAAATATAGTCCTTCTTCTCATGGTCTAAAAATCTAGTCCAGTTACTGAAGAAGTGCATGTTCACTTCTGTAATTCCTGCCCTGCTTGTTGCTGAGAGTCATAAGTGTAATTGCAGAGAAATTAACTGGGTGGTTAGGAACTTGCATAAAACTGGAGAAGAGGACTAAGAAAACCCATAGGGGAAAGAAATAAGAGCTTGGAAGTATTAAATCCTCATTGTTTTGCACAACTTTTGAGTAGGGGGCTCATTCTTGGTTACAGGTATGTAGTAGAGTTGTTGACTGAGGCTGTGACTTTCATTGAGAAGCTTGAAAGCCATTTGCAGGCCGTAAGAAGCATCCCTCAGATACCGAACACCATGAAGAATATGGTGAGTAGCAAAAGAACTGAGTCTTCAGTCTCCTTCAGCATTAAGAATTCAATGCTGTTTGGTCGTTTAGGTTATTTTTATGTCCTGCTAGATTGACAGGTTGTATAGAGATGAAATTCAACTCTTTTCTGCTTCAGGACACTGCTTTGACAAAAACAGAGGTGCTCATGATGGAGTTGGAGGAGCTGGCAGAGCAAATATTGAAATGGAGAGAACAGCAAAAACTGTATTCTGACAGCATCTGCAGTACTGCTGAATTGGACTTTGACTTATCTTTAACCTAACAAATAATTTTCCTCAGATAGGATGGCTATTCAAAGAACTACCTTTTTGTGGTCTTCTGTGAAAGCTACAACATAGTTGTGCTTTAATCCAACAGGGACTTTGTAGGTTATATTTCTGTTCTTATGTAACAGATCTCCCACTATTTAAGGAAAAAAAAAAAAAAAGAAAAAAGGACAATGAGCAGTGGCTCATAGGAAGACAGACTACCGAGAAGACTGTTACAGCGTTCCTTTTTGAAATAGTTGGACAAGATTCCCCTGGAGCCTCTATCTTCAATGCAAACTTGTTTTGATATTTCTTATGCACTTGGTATAGTGTTTCTCTTCATTTTTGTAAGCATCTTGATAATACACTGTATTTTGTATGTCACTATAAAACTTTAATAAAAGCACTAGATTTCAAAAGCTCAGTTTCTTGCTTTTTATTTTGTTATAAAATCCTATAATTAAAAGAACAGTGGAAAGTCTTAGGTACCAGCTTATTCTTCCATAGGAGTTCCAAACAAGGAATTTAACTAGTTTAAAAGTTACAGTTTTATTATGGCTATGATGTGGTTTTGTGGGAAAGCAAGGAATGGACTCGGTGATACATGGCAAGTCTATGGATTTGCAAACCACACTTCTATGATAGTGATAAATATATTCTTCAGTCTCTCCTTAACTGTTGCTTGCCTTATTTTCAGTGCCCCCCTTAGAAGAAAAAACTTTTGTTCCATGAGCATGACTGACAATTTAGCAAAAGCATTGATTGTTACAGTTTGCAAACTTAGCAACTTTTATGTCGTGAAAAGGCTTGTTGGTAAAATGTCCCTGGCAGGATGTCTATAAACCAGGATAGTTGGTTGTCTTTGGAAGATGTCCAGTTTTGTATTCAGGATACAGAGCAAGCTCGAAGTGGTGTGGATGTATTCCTTTCTACCGTTGCATCATTTATGTTACCTGAATTCTTCATACATCTGACCTGTTGATTTCCATTTCTGAAAATAAAAGCCCTTTATTTTTTGAAAATAACCACTAGGTGGCTCAGTACCACACAAATTTCACTGTAGTTTTTCTGATTATTGCAAAAAAAACTTAAGGAAGAAATCTTTGGTTCTTTGTGGAGCACACTCTGATCTGACTTACTTGTAATTGATCTACTCTATGTTTGAGATTTTCTGAGAATCCCATTTTAATCTTTGTAGACTACATGATTTGCTGGGTGTGATGACAAGGTGTATAGCTTAACCAGTCCCTAGTATACTATGTAAGCGTAGCTGATGTTCCTCTCTGCTGCTGTTGAGAAACAATTTGTAATAAGTCAAGCAGAATGTCAATAGGTAGGATCTGAGAATATAAACTGGCATTTGAGTCCCATAAGCTTTAATGGGATCTTTGTGTGAACACTTGCTATATGTCATTGCAGGATTTTAGTCCAAAGTCCCATGTTGCCGTCATTTCGGATGTGGAAACACAGGTCTTCCACACAATTGCAGAGGAGCTGGCATTTTTACTGAAAATGCTTTGCACGTTCTGTGAAATAGGAAGAAACAGAATCCAGACTTCTGGAATTGTCGTCCTGTGCATCTATCATAGGCTTAACCTTTCTCTCATTGTCTTACAGGGATGATTTAGGTCAGGCAAATCAAAGCTGTTGTAATTTAATGCTTTCAGAAGTAGGATGAAAACATTTCTAGTTAGTTTGTTCATTATAATTCCTTGAAGTGAAGACAAATAAGTGTTTCTGCCATATGCCAGAGTTGAGCATATTTTTTTCTTTTGCTGTATCCATTATTGGTAGAGTTTAGCTAATACCATTTGCCATTGATGTACCAATTCATTCTTTAGCATGATTAAAGGGATAAGTCCATCGAAGTAAACAGTGATTCAGAGCTCGTAGGTATTCATTTTAGTATCTCTGTGGTGGGTCATGAATTGGGAGAAGTGTTTGGTCCAAAGGATCCTTCCCATACTTCACTCTGGAAGGCTTCCGTATTGTGGTATCTCTTTCATTTAGATTTAACGTTTCTGGAGCTTCAGGCAAATTGTCTCATGAGGAGAACTATACCTAAAGTACAAATAAATAGTACAGTTAAAAGGTAATTTAAACAGAAGTTGTTTAAATGGTCTGTAAAACATTCCTATACAATATTCAGATATAGCTCAGACCTTCTCACACTTTGAAAAGCAAAACCAGAAAAAGTCCAGTTAAAAATGAGTAACAACACTGGCAAAAACCGAAGGGGAGTTGTCTCTTGAGCCTGGGACCTTGTTTATGCTAATGCTACTTGCTCTCACGTCTTCACAGTGATGTCAGTAGCTGACAGGGACAATATTCTAAAAGCAATTTTTTAAAAAACTTTTTCGTGGTTTTTAGATTGCTGTAAGTGCAAAACTTTTATCAATGCAACAGTCTGACATTGATTTCAATTACAGTTCTTTGGAAGTTTCAAAATTTTCTTTGACACCATCAATACAACCCACGTAAAGATTGGAGGTTTTCAAAGGAGTTTAGAACACTTGAGAGCTTTCCTTTGGCGCTAGTAAGGAAGGGATGCTTGCCTTCCTTAAATTACTGTCGAATTAGTTAAACGTGGAGTGCTCTGCGCTTTAAACAGTGCTGTTTTTCTGATTGCCCGGGCGTTACTAGGAGGTGAAACGTGACCAGACGTACGCGGGGTTAGACTGGCAGTTCTTGACTTCTGAAACAAATCGGTGTTTCTGGGGGAGTCCCCAGCGAGCGTCTCCGTGGCAGCACCCACCTCGTCGGGCTGTCGGCGTTCACCTCTTCACTAAAATCCGGGTAGTTACGCTGCCGCAAATGAGAATTTGGAGGTGCTGCCGGGGGAGTGAAACCACCGTCTCTTGGTCCGGAGGTCCCGCTCTCCCGGGCGGACCTGTCTGAGGCGGAAAAACCCGGCTGGGGTGCTGGGGAGGCCGCCGCGCCGCTGCTCTGGGGAAGAGTTTTCCCGAAACCCCTCCTCTCAGCCGTGGTGGGGAGGGGGCGGCGTCCCTTCCCCGCCCGCGGGGGCTGCCTGGGCCTGGGCCTGGGCCCGGGCCCGGCCCCGGCCCTCCCCTTCCCGCCCTTTCCTCTCCTCCCCTCCCCGGGCGCTGAGGCGCCGCGGCGGGGGCGTGATGCGGGGCCGGGGCGCGGGCGGCCGCGGCTGCTGGGCGTGAGCCGAGCCATGGCTAACGTCAAGGTGGCCGTGCGGGTCCGGCCTCTGAGCAAAAGGTGCGGCGGGGCGCGTTTTGGGGGAGCGGAGCGGGGAC